GGAGGGGACGGGGGGGGCTGGTAGGTGGGGGGGCGAAGGATATCCGCCCATCGGGGAGGGAGGGCATTACGGTGGCACCACGGCCCTGGGAAGCAGCGGTGGGGCGACGGGTTTTGCCTTCGGTCAGGATCAGTCTGCTGGCCCCTCGCAGGAGCATGCGACACAGTCCGCCGACCGACCGGCTTCGTTCGTCGGATCAGCGAGGGAGACGTTAGCAGCCTTGGTCGCTCTAGGCAGGTGCTCCAGCGGAACGTCGAAGTCCTCTGGGATCCGAACTACGTCGGTTAAGGAGCCGCCAGTACAGTCGACCCTCTTGGGCGAGCCGAACCCGGATTCCACAATTGGCGGCGGTGCGGCGAGGGACGGAAATGTGTCGCCTGAGAGGGAGCGAAGGCCGCTGGGATTGCAGCGAGAGGCGGCAAGGGCAAGATCCAGTGACACTGAGACAACGAAGTCCGCCAAGATCCGAACTTCTTCAAGCGGGGGGTGTCGGCCAGGGAATGTCGTACCGCCGAGAGAGGCAGCATGCGCAGAGACGAAAGGGCGGTCGTCGGGATTCGGCAAGGGTACCGGGGAAGGGGCTGGATTGCATGGAAGGGAAGTAGGGGAGGAAATGGAGGAAGGGAAGGAAGCCCGTGAAGCGGAGGAGGAAGGGGAAGAAGGGGAAGAACGGGAAGAACGGAAAGAAGGGGAGGAAGGGGAGGAAGGGGACGTGGGTTTTGGAGACACAAGCGAGGCCAATACCGGATCTGGAGAATCGTTTGATGGGTTCGGACAGCTGTACGGAGAGCATCGCGAGGATAATGTCTACGAGGGTATGGAGACATAGGTGGTTGGCAGCCTTTCTGGGGAGCCTGAAGACTATGAGGTCCAACCGCTAACGTGTGTCGTCGATTTGCAACACCGGTTCGACGAGGCTTCTGTTGTTGTGAGCCCGTCTAAAGCAAGTCATTGTATAAGCATCAACGAAGTTGTCGACGGTATACTCGGCGACCAGCACGTGTCCGCGCATCCGTCCACAATGCCTGACGTCGACGACGCTCGCAACGTCACACCGCCGGACTCTCGGGTGCTGGCCGCCACCCTCGCCGGCGTAGGGGAAGGCGAGGTCATGGGACGACAGCACGTCACGTCCCCTAAAAATTCAAGGGTCGGCAGTCACGCTATCGACGTGCTCGCTTTGCCTGCGCCAACTTCACCGATGAAGGAGCAGAGAGACAAACCGACCGGTAAGCGGTGATGAACGCCACACTGCCTGCACGCCTGGGATTATGAAAACGTGCGATCGGATTCCTCTGTGGTCCGGATGTCGGCATACTGCAGTCCGCCCCATACACACCACCACTGTCCACACTGTCTGTCGATACGGCCACCATTCCTTCTGTGTAGTGTGTTTTTATTAACACATTCGCGCGCAAAAAACTCCGCGGCTGAGAAACTGGTCAGGTAAATGCACCGACGGTTTTGCCTTCTCGGTAATAGCGTCGATTTTAATCCGCCGGGATTCGAACTTCCTTTGCGGATGCGTAATGTGGTGAGTGTATGTAGGCCTGGTGTGTTGGAAACTCCACCGCACACACGGAGAAGTTATGCCTGACTGTTGCGTCTGTACGAGTGTTTGGTTCTCACATTGTCACTTCCATCGGATTCGTGTTGGGAGACATGTATTCATTTTACGTTCTGTCTTTCTTTTGTGTACAGGGGTGGGGTCGTCTCGAACAAGGAGGTCCTCGAGATATCCAGAACACATATTGCAAAAAGTCCCCGGGTTGACGAGAAAACAAAAGGGACTGTTGAAGGCATTAGGGGTTGATGTCGAGATCGGGAAGAGGGAGCACGCCGTTGCCATTGAGGAATGCCTTTCCCTTCTGGCCCCAGAGAAAGGGACATATCCACGATCTGTGAGTAGGGGTCTGGCCACTTATGAGAAATACTTAGCAACGCGTCATGCAACGGGGGACAATGCGTAGATCTGCTTTTCTCACTACCCCGCGTGTCTTTTGCTCAATGTTGTGCAGTGCGGCCCACAACTCATGGAACACGCCGGAAAAGATTCGGTGCAGCGACTGCGCCTCGGAGCTTGCGGGTTTTGGACGGCATTAAACGAGGCTCTATGCCACCTCACGCTGTTCTCTGTATCATGGCCGATGGTCAATTTCGAATTGCAGCAAAAGATCTCCTCACCCTCTTGCATATCGACGGCAGGGTGAATGATGAGGTCATCAATTTTTATATGGCGCTGTTGGGGTCGACTGCATGTGGGTCGCATCACATCTCGCCAGGCCATCAAGTCTTCAGCTTTAATTCGTTCTTCTTCAGTAAACTGCAACTTGAAGGACACGGTGGGGTGCAGAGGTGGGCTAAAAATGTGGATTTGGTTCAATACGATATTATCTTCGTTCCTGTCCACAAACACAATGATCATTGGGTCCTCCGTTCCGTCAATTTGAGAGATGACGTTCTCGAAATTTTTGATTCTTTTCCTCGAGTTGTATCTGATTTGAGATTTTACATTAGTGTTTTCGAGTTGATTGTAGAGTATTTGGAACGTCAAACATCACATACGCGGTCGGGTAGGAATTGGAAGTCGATACCGGGAAATGTTGTGGTGGATGGAGTTCCGAGACAAGTGGATGGATCTAGTTGCGGAGTGTTCATATTGATGTTCGCGACGTTGTTGCAACGTGGTGATCGACCGCCTTTCGGGTTCTCTTCTCAAGATATTCCGCCTATAAGACGACAATTGGCATCATGTATCTTAGAACGTCGTTGTTTTTCGTAGATTTGCTTGGCTGAGGAAATTTTCTTGAAGGTATTTCATTTGTTATTGATGATATTTCGTAAATCATGCCACTATTTGACTGCCATTTTTACAGCGACATTGCTTTCTGTTGTCGTTGCGAGTTTGAGTTTTCTTTGGCGGGCTCATGGCTTGTCAAGGGTCGTCAATAGACTTCTCTGTCACGTCCTGTTCGTGYCTCATGCAGCGGATCATGTCATACGTTCCGTTCCATGTCCCAAAACCTGTTCAACTCGAAGTGTATATATGACTGTCAGATCGGTCGGTGAATGCATGACAAATCTCATCTACTGTGTGACAAATCTCAATGTCGTGTGGATGCATGACAAATTGGTCAATGAATGCAGTAATAAATGTAAGGAGCAGTAACGTCATGTCTCTTGCGTGGGCACAGGATCACATGCCTTGAGACCACAAGCATTGTATGTAACCGRCAACCTTGCGTGTGTCACCATACCTTCYTTGCATGGYYATTTGAAGAGCGGRTGAATRAGCAAAATTTGAAKTTCTAGACTTGTGCATGGCACRTCAAAGTTGAGTGGTCGTMATAGTACACCTTCCTCATCACAACTGTAAACAAGTATGGATCTCAGTGCCCTAATGTCGGCCAAGACGATGGGTATGCTTGCACAACTTTGGGATAACCTAATGAAGAAACTTGAATGTGTTGTCCAACAACGGTTCAATCATGACACCTTGTTTAGCACACTCTATGAACTATAAGTTTGACAAGTATGGATCTCAACACACTTACGGTTCATAGATGGGCGTGCCTGTCAATGCACTACGTTTTCTCACCAAATCAGAATGTCATCAAACATCCGAATGAACTTCTCAGGCGGGACTACGGACCTGCCTGTGTAGCTTTGGGATAGCCGAAAGAATTATACAATGCTATTCAATCTGAGTGTATTGCTCATTTTGTTTATAACGTCCAACAAGTATGGATTTCAGCACACTTCCACATTTAGGGCGAGTGGATGGGCGTGCCTACGTGGAAACGTAGAAGCCAAATATGAATTCATCATAAAGAGGACACAATACAATCAATGACATGTCTTTCATTACATTTCTAAATTTCCTCAGCACACTTCCGCAAAGGGTTCCGTGATGGGCGTGCCAGTCCTCATTCGTTTATAAAGTTCAACAAGTATGGGTCCCAACACCTTCCGCAGAGGATTCTTTTTACGTTTTTGAAGTTCAACAAGTGAGGATCCCAACACGCTTCCGCACAGGGTTCCCGGGTGGCATGCCTAACATGTATGGGTCTCAACATGCTTCCGCATTTCGGATATCAGTTGTAAAGTTTCACAAGTACGGATCTCAGCACGCTTCTGCATGTGGTTAAGCGGCGGATGGGCGTGTCTGCGTTGCTTAGGCTGTAGCCAAAAAATGAATTCGTTAGAAAGAGAACACAGTATAATATCCTATTTTAACAAATAACATGTTCTAATCCTCTCACATTCCAGGCAAGTCTGATTCTGTTGGGAAGAACAATTCTTGTCACCTGGAGCGCTCGGGGATTGGATGCAGACCCCTTCTTCGTGTAATCTGAAAGTAGGATCTCGTCATATTGGGCTGCATTCTCCAACCGTAAAGTTGATGTTCTTACCTGCTTGAAGTTTCAACAAGGATTTCACGAATGCATCCGCCATTAAATCCGCCCGGTTGTCTGATTGGACCAACCAGTCAGCTATGACCTGAGTCGAGAGGTTCGTTAGCAGCCTTATATTTGTCAAAGTATCTGAGTGAGAGGTGGCTAAGTGTGCCAAGTCCACCCAATAAATCCTCAGATCATCCCACTTGTGCTTTTATTATTTGTGATAAACGTAAGATCCATTAAAGCAAAGAGAAGGTGGACCTTACCCCCTTCTGGTGTATTTGCGAGAGATCTTGCCATTTTTGGCTCAGGGAGCAGGCCCACCTCACAAAGGTTCTGTAAGAAGTGAATTTTTACCAAGTTACAGACCATTACTGGTGAAGGGGGGCTTTTTAGTAAGATAGCAGGGATCCTTAGACTTTCGACTTTTCCTTTCAACGTAAAGAACCTGGGTTTGAGTCCATCATAGGCACAAATGAGGGGGATCAGATAATCAGACACATGGTTTTTTGCCTTGTCCGCCCTTGTAAGCGTTCGCATAGGGGCAACCATAGCAAGGGACCGTCTAGCAGTTTTAGCCATTTGCGTTCTCTCTCTTTTCTTCGGGGAGCTTCTGACGATGTCCTCAGATGGCCCGCCCCTATCTCCCTCACCTAGCCTAGCCTAGAATTTCAAACCTTCAATGCGTGGCCTTTTAATGACCGATAAGGCTAATGCTGCCGGTGGCCGCATATGAGAGTCATCCCGGGAGGAGTCTCCTAAAGTCGTGAAGAGGTAAGGAAAAGAGTTCCCCAACCCCACCTCTTTACCTGATTGTGCACTACCCAGATCTTCTTCCTTATCCCCTGTGGGGACCCATGCGTCCTCCGATGGGGAAAATAATTCATGATTAGGCTCGTCTGTTTCCGCTTTTTCCTCCTCAGAACGACTATCTAAACCTGGAGTGACCGAGGGAATAAATATCATTCTATCAATTAACCGCAATTGTTGTACTTTCATTCCTTTCGTCCTCTCCTGCTCATCAGTCACTCCGTCCTCATCTTCAAATATCAAGTTACTGTTGATTTTGCAATCATTGACCTTGGCGGTTGAGAGATGAGCCAAAGTAGATATGGCCAGTTCAACCTCACCCTCCTTTTGAGGGACTTGATCCCCCGACTCACTGCGCTCCTGGGCATTTCCCGTCTTGATGGGTTCTGTTGGCAAGGACTCCTTTCCGGATCCCTGCTCTTTTTCAGTTCTTTGATCTTTCTCAACCCCATCAGTGAGAGAGTCGCTCGTCCTTGAGCCAGAGGGAGCCCTAGAGCCAGAGGGAGCCCTTGAGCCAGAGGGATCCCTAGAGCCGTGTTTGCTTGCCCTGTTTTCTTTGATCTCGGCATTGGCCTCTTCCATTGTCTCCCTTATCCCAACCTCTCCTCCCTTTCCCCCATCTTCTCCGTCGGTTCCTCCTTTTTCCCCTTCGTCATCATTTTCCATGTCACAATCCTTTGGGGGGTTAGGTACTTCTTCCCTCTCCTTTTGTACCTGTTTGATATTCTCCACTGGGGGGTTCTCCCTTTCCCGGCTCCTCTCTTGCCTGTCCCTCTTCCGCCATTCTTTGGCCCCTTGAGCTCCCAGTTTCGAGTTCCTCTTCTTTCTCCCTGGCGAAATTTTCTTTTTCTTCTTTTCGGCTTTGACGGCCGGCTTTAGAGGCTTGGGGGGGTTGGGGGGAACAGTCCCCATGGTATCCTCCTCATTCCCCAAATTGGCGTTCACATCCTCCATATCTTCATCTTTCTGTTCTGGGTATTCTGTGTTTTTTCCTTTGTCCTCCCCGGACCCTGCACTATCGAGTTTCGAGCCGTTAGCATCTGAGGGGTCCGTGGATGGTCCGGGCTGGTCCTCCTGACCAGGGGGGGGTTCTTTCTCCCTTTCTTTCCCTTTCCTTATTCTTGTACCCTCTCCCGGTTTCGATCCTCCCTTCAGGTCAACTATCTTTGTCGAGTCCCCTTTCTCCCCGGCGATAGGTGTTTTGTCTCTAACTTTCTTGCCTTTGCCCTTGGTGGTCTGCGCATCCTCTTTTCGTTTTTCCGGCTTGGCCGGACACGAGTTGTCATTTTTCAAAGACGCGATACCACTGCGTCTGTGCGCGAACCACTTTTATTTCCACATATCCCCCCTTTCCCATGTCTATGATTAGATAAGGCTTATACCTCAAGGGGGCAGCCGGATCCAGGTCAAAGCGTACATTGATCAACTCTGGAGATGACTGATCGGAGAAGGTCTCGTGTTTCTTTAAGATGTTACCATATGCCTTTTTTACGGCTGCAACCACATACGCTAGGGCTGCCACGGGGATGTACATACACCTAATCCAGAAAAACCTATACCTTAAGGCTTCCCTCCAGTCAAACAATTTCTGTTCTGACATCCACAACCTAAAGGAAACTGTATAGGTTTTCCCGTCCAGTTCGATTTTATCTTCCTTCTTACGCAGCATCCATGTTGCAATCTCCTTTGCAGAAGCCACATATGTTATTAAGTTAAATCCCTCATTGTGAAACACCCCCCTTTTTAGTGGAGCATTAGTAAATCCACTCTTGGCCCAACCGTTTTCCAAGATACAAGTCAAGGGAATTTTGACCGAAATCGGCAGGAATTTGGAGTAGTTTTCGAAAAATACAGATACTGTGTTTTCCTTAAGCCACTCTTCCTGTACCGCATATATGTCCGGGTTTATTACCACTCGTACATAGTTTTCTCCTGTTTCCACTTTTTCAGAGAAGAGTTCCTCAGGAAGTAGTCCTTCGTTGTAGCATTCAGACAGGATGCTTTTAATTCTGGATTTGTCCTCCGTCGTCATCGACGGAGGAGGACAAGCCACGAACGACTCAACCATCTCAAGACTGTTGATCAACAAAAATAAAAGCGTAAAAACAAAGAACCACAAAGACTTAAATTTCCTATAAGTATGTACTCGGTAGGCCTCAATAAATAGGGATAAGAACATACGTCGATACCCACTTCCCTCACATGAGTTGTGGTCGAATCTACTTCCTGAATATCTTTTGTGCTTTGGCCCAGCCACAAGCTCTGTCGTGCGGTCCACGGTCGCTCCGGTGATAGACTCCGCTTCGATAGCTGCTAACATAAGAGCTCCACGCTCCGATGCTCCATTACTAAAGACCAGCCAGCCAATCTTAAGTCCCAGCGGCTTATGGGGAAGCTCTTCGACAGCCCACCACGAGAGACGAGGAGGAGATTATGGTGATAGCCCCAACACTCCTATCTCTCCTTCCTAGTGTGGGCGTTCATTCAGGAGACATCCCTGGAGAAGTCATCGGCTTTCGAGGTTTGTTACTTTCATCCTCCATAACCTATCAAGCACCGATAGGGTCACCATTTAGGAGGTGCCTTCTCCTAACCCTAATTAGCGTAAATTCGGCGGCGCTTGGCACCTACGGAAATTCGCGCAGGATTAGCGTTGAATTAGCACAGCGTCGGCCGGTCCCTCGTCGTACGGGTACTTGTTAGCCCAGGCCACCTACCGTTTTTGCCCATTATCGAACCGGTAGGCCGTCTAAAGCGCAGTTCACTATTTTTTTTGCCGTTTCAAACTGCTCACGGCCCAATCTTGCAGTGGACTGTTATTCCTGCGGATTCGGAACTGTGCAGCGGTCACAAGCGCATAATAATAATAAAATCCCAGATTGAGGGGTCGCAAGGTTTCCAATCCTTCTCTGAGATCTGGAGCCCCTCCGTTGTAGCCAAAGTCCTCTGCAGGCTCAAACGTAGTCCCTGTTTTTTTCTAAGTGTAAGGGGGGTCTCACGTGTTCTCAATTGGGCCCGCGGCGTTCCGCGGGGCCACACTGGCTGGGTGGTGGCAGTTTCCAGAGCACGTTGGAATACAAGTACATAGTTGTAGACTCCGAGTTGTTCTTTTTGAACTTTTTCCCTTTTTCCGCGTGTTCTGACCTTCTGGCCCAACGTGAAGTTGGTTGGTGGGCTGTTTTTTTTCGTGCTTGGCCCCAGCCGGAGTTGGTTGGTGGACTGTTTTGTTTTATGTTGGGTTAAAGAATATTCTGCGGCGGCGCTTTGTTTCCATTTTCCCCGTCCATACAAGCCATTTTCAGAGTGTTTGAGGTTGAGCGCGCTTTGTGTCCATTCCCCCTGTCCATACAAGCCCTTTTCAGAATGTTTCCCCCTGTCAAGACCAGCCCTTTTCAGAGTGTTTGAGGGCCTACTCACACTAGATGCAAATGTCACAAAAAAATGTGACATTTGCCACGACTTTCGTGATATTTGCATTGGTTGCTGGTCACACAACCTAACCGCCCCTGCCATATGGGACACGGCCACAACTTTCTGCATGTCAGAATTTGTGTTATTGTGCAACACTCCAGGTCGTCGAAGAGGGATTGTTTTTTGTTTTTTTTTTCGACTTCTTTCTCCAGTGAACTTTTGTGAAAACAAAAATGCATTTACTATTTGCTACCAGTGTGAGTATGCCCCGAGGGTTGAGGGCTTCATGTTCAAATACAAGATCATAGCTGCGCTTTTTAGCGTGTTCAGATTCAATGCACAAAAAAACAGAAAAGATATGGAGACTTACCCGCTCTCTCTCTCTCTTTCTCTCTCTCTCTCTCTCTCTCTCTCTCTCTCTCTCTCTCTCTCTCTCTCTCTCTCTCTCTCTC